GCGCGTGTTTCGTCGTTTGGTATGCCAGTTTACTGACACCCGTATATAGTATTTTTGTATCATAATTCGTGAGAAACCAATGTTTCTTCGCACGAAAACCATGTTCTCGTCTCTTACAGAACCTAGTTTTCTTGGCTCTAAGCATGAAACCTGCGTTTCTAGCCTATAACCGCGCAAGTTATCGCTGGAATCTTAGTTTCTTGAGCCAAGAACTAGGTTTTGGGAGCAAGAACCTAGATTTCAGTCAAGAAACCCACTATTCAACCGCGCCATTTTGTAATCATAATTCGCAGACGCCAAGGATTCTCGCAGGGACCTTTTGGCAGGTGGGTGTTTTGTAGTGTTAGAATCTAAGTTTCCAGTCAAGAAACCTAGGTTCAGCAGCTACGAAACTTAGTTTCTTACGCTCAAAAACCAGTTTTCAGATCTCAAAACCGCCAGTTTGTACCAGCTGCGTGCTGACATACATTATTTGAACCCCACTGAGCAAACTACGCTGCCCAACGGCCCAACTTTTAACACACACATGTGAAGTATCACACTGAGTTACACATAATGGCTAAGCTTCGAAGCGTCGCATGGATACGGCGTCATGCGCTTTTAGAAAATTACTACTACATCGCGTATCATTTATGCCGACCTTGCCACGGTATATGTATTATAGGCCTACTTGTGCGGATGCGACAGAAACGTATATGCGCTAATTTCGGCGTAATGGTTTGAAATAAACCCAATGGCATTGTTAATCCCCCACCGTAGGTCGGTGTTCCCAAAGCGCTGTACTACATCTACAAGCGGGTTTTATTCTTCCTAAATTTCGTTTTAATGATTAGCCAGTAACTATTATCGTGCTGGCAGTTCATGTATCGTAACGCATTATTCCCGTCTGCTTGCTGAAGGTACCGAATGTCTGCAATTTCCGAATGAGAGGCTACGGATATCCGAATAATGAACAACCCTCCTTTCGCAGGTGTTATTTTCCAATAATTTCCACATTAATTTCATTGTCAATTTGATGCATTTTTTCGCAATATATTAGCCAGAACGCCTAACAGATCGTCATAGGATTCTGTCATCAGACCATTCCAGACTAACATACCTTAAATCAATAAATTTAATTTATTAATCGGTCAATGACATGTAAATATGTAAGTAAATCACGTGTGTGTGCTTTCATCAATCTATACCCTCTGTTTAAGGTTCCTATATGATGGACGAATTTCTTTTAGACCACATAGAGGTTGCGACTGTATGGTTAAAGCTTCACCTTTCTTCACCTGAAACGGGTACTGGAATGTAAGAACACTGCATTCCGCACTACGCAGGCGGTGCCTCTAGGAACATACGACGGACAGCTGGATAACACCGATTCTCTCATGCATTGGCCCGTGTTATCAAAAAGTATCAGATAATCGGTATTGTTGTTATTCATTCCGCTCGCGTACACTGTTTTTAATAAATTCTTTTTAATGTGTTGCATAAAAAGCAATCAATCGATAACAACAAGCAGCAGCAGCGCAGCGAGCCCAACAACAACAACAACAATACAATATAACAATAAACAACTGTACAAAATTATTATTCATTTATTTGTTATTTTATATTATAATTTTCTCCTCCTTCTCCTTCTTTTCTCCCTCATATTTATTGCTTCTTCTTCCTGCCTAATATTAACTGATGTCTCCATATTTTTTAGATGTCGAAGTGTTTTCGGATAGCGCTTCAGTGGCTCTGTCGACCATCAATGGGTATATGCTAGCTTGGTCTTTGAATGTTTTCGATTGGTGCAGTTTACTTCATTTTAAGGCCGTTGCCGAACTTATTTACAGAAGAATTCGCGCCCTACTGAAATGACCATGAATAAAGACTCTGCCGTTTCATTTACCAGATCGATCAATTGATCTTCATCAGGGCTTGAACGTATTAAAAGAAACATAATAAGATATTTGATGACATAGTTAAGTTGTAGCATTTTTGCCTGAATTACATAACGACCAGATAGTGCAACTACAAACAGCAGTTATAATAATTGTTAACAATTGTTGTATCACCAGACAAAACTATTTGATAGCTTACTCCACCAATTCGGCTACAGCGATTGATCGTCAGTGTTTGGGGTGCGGTGCCGTGCAAAAAAGCAACACAAGGTGGCAGTATTAGGCTTGCACCGGAAGGTACAGCTGCGCTCACGTAAAAGAAAGCTTTTTCGTGTTAACTAGCGACAGTAGGTCATGCGTTAGGTGCGTAATCATGCGAAGAACCGGCACACGGGTATATCACGCGAGCTGCTGTTTCTACTGATCCCACGAAAGCCGATTCAGACACAGAAGATGCATGCGTGTGTGCTGTCGTGTGTGCTGTTGTTGTGTGTGTGTTGTGCGTCGTCGATCACTCGACAACCCGCGGGACGAGTGTGCTATAACCTGCCTGTGTGTGTCGTGCGTGCTGTGCGTGTGTACCTGGTCTGTGTGTGTGCTGTGTTGTGTGTGTGTGTGTGTGTGTGCGTGTGTACCTGTGTGTGTGGGTTGGTGCTCGTGCTGTGTGTGTGTGTTGTGTGCCTGTGTGTGTGTGTGTGTGCTATGTGTGCTGTGTGTGTTGTACCGGCAATGTGTGTGCGTGTTTGTACCTGCGCTGTTGAGTGTTGTAGCCTGGGTTTTGCTTTTTACATGTGTACCTTGTGTTACCTGTGTGTGTTAGGCGGGGGGGGTTTGAGTGTTGTGGTACCTGCGTCGTGCGTGTGTGTACTCTGCGTGTGCGTGTTGTTACCGCTGCCGTTGCGCGTCGTGTACCTGCGTGTGCGTGTTGTTACGTGCGCTTGTGGTGCTGTACCTGCTGCTGCGCGCCAGTTGTGTTGTGGTGTGCGGTGTGTGTGTTGTGTGGGGGTTGTGTGTGTTGTGTGTGTCTGCTGTGTGTACAACTGCGTGTGGTGTGTACCGGGCGTGTATGTGTTGTGACCTTGTGTTGGCGGCTGGGTGCGTGTTTCCGTTGTGTGTGCCTGTGTGCTAGTGTGTGCGGGCGGCGGCTCACACGCACACGCACACGCACACACTCACACACATACAACTGCAGCCGTCTCTCGTTGGGGTTTGTCTCACGAATTTCAAAATCCAATTTTGTCTTCCAAATTTTCGGCTCACAGCTGTGCGCGGCAGTGCTTGGTTGTTTATACACCGCATCCGCAATGGCTTTGGTGTGTGCGCATGCGGATTTGGCGATCTTAACATTTGGTGCGGGTTTCCGATGAATGCCGAAGTTTCTTCGGGCACATAACTTTTTAGAAAATTGCCTCCAAAAGACACTTCACGTTCGAAAAATCTTTACGTTCTAACGTAGCGGAATGTATTCGGGACGTCCAGAAGGGGCCCCAGCTCGATTTGCGTGAGCACACGTGGCACGGTTTCGGAGGAGATACGGAAAACGACACTTCGGCTCTTTCTACTATTATATTATAGATGACAAGGCCTTAGATTTAGTAAAGTTTTCACATGCTGATATCTTTTCGAGTAGCGAAATCTGAAAAACTACATCGCGAGTTGTCATGGAATTTTTCAGTATATGGGGGCATGTCTCCGAGCATTAAGAACATGGGTTCTGCCGTAGTATCCTAAACCCACTCGCAAGCTTAAAAGTACCATGCCGTATTCTTGCGTTAAACTCCCAGTAAGTTTTACTGATTAAACCCTAAAGTAATAACAGTTCAACGTGCAAACGAAAAGAAGGTATAGGGATACGATACCATGAGATAATTAACACTCACTGCCAGTAGAATACACGGAGAATATTGTGAATCTAGAGATAATAACATGATACGATACCATGAGATAATTAACACTCACTGCCAGTAGAATACACGGAGAATATTGTGAATCTAGAGCCTTGTTCTCCACCGCAACACTCGTCCTTCACACAGCTGTAAAATTTAGAGGCCTTGACACCCGGACAGGTATTCTCGCACGAGCTCCCTTCTCCCGCAAGACTGGAGATGTAGACCGTGTAAGGCAAGTCGTTGGAGCAAACGCACAGATCCTCGGCAGTTAGCGCTAAAATGTAGCCTGCAGATGAACAAGCACCGATACCTCTAAATACCTACGGTTATATATTCGTAAGGTAAATAGTTTGTGCAGACGCATAGAACAGCAGCCGTTAATGCGAGAACGTTGCCTGCAATTGAACCAGACACGAAATCGTTATAATGAAGTTTAAATGTAGGGCTTGATTTGTGTTTGATTATATGATTGAATGACTGGTTATGAATCATTGATAAATGGTCGTATTGATGTATGTATGTATACATGTATGTATGTATGTATGTATGTATACATGTATGTATGTATGTATGTATGTATGTATGTATGTATGTATGTATGTATGTATGTATGTATGTATGTATGTATGTATGTATGTATGTATACACACACACACACACACACATACACACGCACACACGCACACACACACACACACGCACACACACACACACACACACACACACACACACACACGCATGCATCTCTGTTTCTGAATCGGCTTTCGTGATCGTAGAAACATCGCGTGATATACCCGTGTCCGTTCTTTCGCATGATTACGCACCTACGCATGACCTATGTCGCTAGTTAACACGAACAGCTTTCTTTTACGTGAGCCACTGTACCTTTCCGGGCAAGCCTAATACTGCCACCTTTGTTGCTGGCACGGCACCCACCCCAACACTGACGTCATCGCTGTAGCCGGAATTGGTGGAGTAACTATCCAAATAGTTGTCTGTGTGATACAACATTGTTAACAATTATTATACTCTGTTTGTATTCACTTCGGTCGTTATGTAATTCAGCAAAAATGCTACAATTACTATGTCATCGATATCTATTATGTTTCTTTTATACGTTCAAGCCTGATGAGATCAATTGATCGATCTGTAAATTGAAACGCAGTCTTTATGTCATTCATTTCAGTAGGCGCGATTCTCTGTAAAAAGTTCCACGGCCTTAAATGAAGTAAACTGCAACCAATCGAAACATTCAAAGAGCCAGCTAGCATATACCCATTGATGGTCGACAACCACTGACGCTATCCGAAAACACTTCGACATCAAAAATATGAGAACATAGTTAATATTAGGAGGAAGAAGAGCAATAAATATGAGGAGAAGAGGAGAAGAGGAGAATAATTATAATATTAATAATAACAATAATAATAATAATTTTTGTTACATTGTTTATTGTTATATTGTTATTGTTGTTGTTGTTGTTGCTGCTGCTGCTGCTGCTGTTGTTATCGATTGATTGCTTTTATGCACCATTAAAAATTTATTAAAAACAGTGTACTGACGGAATGAATAACAACAATACCGATTATCTGATATTTTTTTGATAACACGCCATCATGAGGAGAATCGGTGTTATCCAGCTGTCCGTCGTATGTTCCTAGAGGCACCGCCTGGTAGTGCGGATGCAGTTTCTTCTTCAGTACCCGTTTCAGGTAAGAAAGGTGAAGCTCTATACCATACAGGTCCACCTCTATGTGGTCTAAAGAAATTCGGTACACATCATTAGGAACCTTAACAGAGGGTATAGATTGATGAACACACACACGTGATTACTTACATATTTACATGTCATGACCGATTACTAAATTAATTTATTGATTTAAGGTATGTTAGTCTGGCTGGTCTGATGACAGATCTATCGATCTGTTAGGCGTTCTGCTAATATATTTGCGAAATGCATATTTGACAATGAATTAATGTGGAAATTATTGAAATACCTGCAGGAGGGTTGTTATTATTCGGATATCCGTAGCCTCCATTCGGATTGCAGACATCGGTACCTTCAGCAAGCAACGGGAATAATGCGTTACCATACATAACGCCAGCACGATAATAGTTACTGGCTAATCATTAAACGAAATTTAGGAGATAAAACGCTTCTAGATGTACAGCGCTTTGGGAACACGACCTACGGTGGGGATTAACAATGCCATTGGGTTTTATTTCAACCTACGCCGATTACCATATACGTTTCTCCATCCGCACAGTAGGCCTATATACATATACCGGCAAGGTCCGGCATAATATACGCGATGTAGTAGTATTTCTTAAAAGCGCCGTATCCATCGACGCTTCGAAGCTAGCATTAGTGTAACTCAGTGTGATACTTCACATGTGTGTTTAAAAGTTGCCGTTGGGCACGTGAGTTGCTCAGTGGGGGTTCAAATAATGTATGTCAGCACGCAGCTGGGTACGAAACTGGGTTTTGAGATCTGAAACTGGGTTTTGAGCGTAGAAACTAAGTTTCTAGCTCTGAAACCTAGTTTCTTGACTGGAAACTTAGATTCTAGCCACAAACACCCACCTGCCAAAAAAGGTCCCTGCGAGGAATCTTAATCCTTGGCGTCTGCGAATTATGATACAAATGGCGCGGTGAATAGTGGGTTTCTTGCTGAAATCTAGGTTCTTGCTCCCAAAACCTAGTTCTTGGCTCAAGAAACTAAGATTCCAGCGATAACTGCGGTTATAGGCTAGAAACGCAGGTTTCATGCTTGAGCCAAGAAAACTAGGTTTGTGAGCACGAAACATGGTTCGTGCGAAAGAAACTTGGTTTCTCACGAATTATGATACAAAATACTATATACGGGTTCAGTAAGACTGGCATACCAAGCGACGAAACACGCGC